TTTTGATGTTGTAACACTTAGTTAGGTTCAATATGCTCTTTCTACCTTATGATATGTAAAGTGTACTTAGATACACTATTTGTGACCTATTTGATATGTATGACATGAGGACAATGGCCATAAATCTTAAAGTTTAAGTGTATGCATTTAGATTCCAAGTTTTTCACTTAAAATGTAACTTTTATAACTTTGAGGTTTGGCATGTGAATTGGAGTAAATGTTATGTAATGAGGTCATGGGCCATTATAATACATTTTAATATGTAAAGTACACTTGTTGGCATACTTACATAGCTTAAAATCTTATTTTTGGACCACATTAATGTTGGGATTTGAGGCATGGGTTAAACCTTAATATTCTTGGCATATAACAGGCCTTCCAGTAGCTTTTCGAGTCATTTCGGTCGTCCAAAATGCTAGTTCGGTCGACCGATGGCTCTTGGAAACTTCAATGCACAGTAAATCACCCATTCCAGTAGCCATTTTCGCTGTTTAAGTTCATTTCGGTCTACCGAAACACCCTCCCCTCAAAAATATGTTTTCAGGAAAGTTTTTGCCCAGTTTGGTCATCCGAAACTCCATTTCGGTCGACCGAAATAGCTTTTATTCACCAGTCTCTTCAGTTTTGTTTCAGCACTGATGTTCCGACTTCAAACGGCTATCACTTCTTCATTTCTAATCCAAATAGGGTGATTTTTGAGCCTAAACTCAAAGATTTTGAGTCAGCTTTCCAATGGTACTTATGCCATTCTCAGATTCAACTCACAGTAAGAGTTATTCAAGTTTTAGTGAAATAGTGTCAGGATTTGGTTTGAACCAGGAAAAGGGCTTCTTATGGGATTTTTGGCCAAAGTTCTTAAAACCTCGTGGAATGTTGTGAAATAATTAGTTTAGGTTGTATGGACCTTATTTTACTTGCTTGGTGTCAAATTTCTATTCTTAGTTGCAAATTGACCATTTTTCCCTTGATTAACGGGTTTTGCTCGTTTTTCTTTATCTTGTCATTTCTCCTTCATTCAGACTCCGAATCATGCGATTTTTGAGTCCATCTTGATTAATTTTTCGTTCTCTTTCCAGCGGTGTGATCGGTGGCACCCGAATCTATATTTTTAGAAATGATTATTTTGTCCCTAGGGGCTTAATTGTTATTTTCCCTATCTCTTACCTACACACATTATTCCTTTGGGTTCCGTGACCTCATGAAAGGTCATCTTAGGGTCTTAGAGGTATGTTATGCCTTGAGATACTATTGTCTTGTTTCTTATTTCAGCATCTGGATCCGTTAACGGGTCAATCTTCGGTTCATCACTGATGCACCGGGTTGAATAAAAACTTGGGTCACTACAGTAGCAATACTAGAGACCCAAATTATCAACATGCCTTATGTAATATGTTTTCTAACTATCAACTTCCCTTGTATGATAGGTTTCTAAAAGAGTCCAGAAAGATGATAGAAAGTGAGTCAGATAAAACGTGAATGAATTGGAAGAGTATCACTTTAATAGGGAATGACAATTATGGTATTATAATTTTTAAGAATTAAACTTGTATGAGATAAGGGTTTGTTTGTAATTTCATTTTGAGAGAGAGTGAAAGTGGAGCTCCTGAGTATTATTCTAGAGCCCAAATTAATATCAACTCCCATTTTAAATTGGTCCAACCAAACAATACTAGAATGGTTATTATAATTCAATTCTAACACATTTCATATTTGCAACTAAACAATATAATGAGAATAATCATTTCATTCCCATTCTCATTTCATTCCCACTTGTATTTCATTCCCACTTTCATTTTATTTCATTCCTGCACCAAACGCACAGCTTTAAATCCATACATTTTTGCCTTAATTATAGATGAGCTGACAAGACATATCTAAGAAGAGCATAAATGGTGTATGTTATTTGCCAATGATGTTGTTTTAGTTGATGGGACTAGAGAAAGAGTAATTGTCAAATTACAGGTTTTAAGAGAAGTTAATTTTAGACCTAAAAGGATTTAACATAAGTTGAAATATATAAAATTGAATATATGCACAGCTTTTAATAAATATAAACAGACAAATGAAGATGTGGTAAGAATTATGATATATAAAAAAGTGAACATCTTCATTACTAGGCTCAATTATTCATCATCAGAGAGAAATTGGTGATGATAATTGTTGATACGAAAATCCTCGCAATCTAGAATAGCGGCGTTTATTAGCAAAACAAAGGGACGTCACCTCGAATGGTACCGGTGGGGTACCGGCTGAGGACCCTCTGACGATCAAGTTAGTGCTTGCAATCGTATCACAGAATAATGTTTAGGGGTTTTTTTCTAATACCTTATTTAATTTAATGACTCGATACCCTATTTATGGCTGCCGATTGGAATCAAGATCGTTTCGCACATGTCTATTGTTGAGATCTCCTATATCATCAATAACGGGATTTGTTGAGGTGACGAAGTTGGTTGCGATATTGGAGTTTACCTTATCCTCTTCGTTAGTTGAATAATAATATCTACATATTCTCAAATTGGAGAAGAATGGTGGCAAGTCAACCCTAGAGTTACTTTTTTTCCCCATCAGTTGTCCCCTATTTCCTAGTTTGGAACGGACTAGGAAATATAGAAATAATTTATTTATTTTAAATTTTTTTCACCCAGGTTACTATTCTCGAGGGGAACTTTACCCCTGGTATTGTTCCCGATGTGAGATATATATATATATTTTACACGTGTTATTATTCCCAAGGTGAGATTTTTTTTTTTTTACCTGGGTTATTAATTCCGATGGGAACTTTACCTCCAGGTATTGTTCTTGATGTGAGATTTTTTTTTTTTTTTGTCACCCAGGTTACAATTCCCGTGGGGAAATTTACCCCCGGGTATTGCTCCGAATGTGAGATTATTATTATTATTTTTTTACTTGAATTACTATTCTCGAGGGGAACTTTACCCCCAAGGTATTGTTCCAGAGGTGAGATTTTTTTTTTTACCCGGGTTACTATTCCTACTTTACCCCCGGGTATTGTTCTAGAGGTAAGAATTTTTTTTTTTTTTTTTTTCACCTGAGTTACTATTCCCCGAGGGGAACTTTACTCCGAATATTGTTCCCGAGGTGAGATTTTTTTTTTTTTTTTCACCCCTGCTACTATTCCCGAGGGAAACTTTACCCTTGGGTATTGTTCCCGATGTGAGAATTTTTTTTCCTTTCACCCGGGGGAAACTAGGCCTTGGGACATTTGCCCTCTTTTGTTTTTGAAAAAACATTAGTTGAATTTATTTTTTACTTGACCTCGTTTTGGGAAGGATTTTTTTTTATTATGTTTTTTCAAAAATAGTTTATCTATCGCGGGCGGCTCGCCAGGTTTAGGCCATTTACTGGCTGGATAGATGACGGCCTTATAGAAGCATCCAGGAGGTGCAATTTTTCAATATAGAAGAGGCACAAGTGTGATTTCAACAAACCTCAAGGGTCTGTCTTCACAATCTCTTCCAGGGTAGAAAGTTTTTCCCCGTGGGTCCCATGCCATTGTGCTATAAAGGCATTAGGAATTAAACAGCGAAAAAGTGGTTAGTCTCTGTTGTTAAATTCTGTGGTTCTTGAAAAAGTGGTTAGTCTCTGTTGTTAAATTCTGTGGTTCTTGAAAAAGTGGTTAGTCTCTGTTGTTAAATTCAGTTGTTCTTATCATATATATATATATATATATATATATAGTGTGTGTGTGTGTCAGGGAGAGAAGACGCATGTGTTTGGCTCGAAATTTTGCAGTGTGCCAAAGTCTATTTGGCTCGAAATTTTGCGAGTGTGCCAAAGTCTAATTCGACCTAAATGAGAATAGCTAAACTATTCCTAAATTGACTCGATCATTTCTTAAATTGACTTGATCGTAATGAATGTAAAAGTTTGTATGAAAAAATAAATAAGAGAGTGAATAAGTTTTACTTACTTCTTTATTCGATTTTTATTTATTTTAATTTTACTTATAAAAAAAAACTAAAATCAAACCCAAAAAACAATAAATTAAGACACTAAATAACTCTAACTACTCAACCAAACCCAACTAATCCTTAAATTTTTAAACTCAAGTTGATGTTATTCCTATGGGAAATTTTACATTGAAAGTTTAAAGTGATCTTTAGTTTCATATTAAATTACTCATAAGCACAAATTTATTTAAAAAAAACTTAATGCAGATTTCTGAAAAATAACATACAAATTCTTAGTAAATAGGGTTAACATACAATCAATTAATATTTAAATAAAGGAAATTGAAAAGAAAAAAGTGATTAGAATTTGAATATTATATACATACGATACCTAAAATAAATAAAATAAAAATATATTTATAATATGATAATTCGGGTTGGGGTCAAATTTGTGACACCTCAATTCAAGCCTAACTTTAATTAAGTTTGGGTTAAAAAATTTCGACTGTCCAATCTTAATTATAAAACTAATTGTCAAAACTTGGCTGGCCATATTTTGAAAGTGTTCTATGTCAGAACATAATCTTAGTGAAGGGTGGAGATGGACAAGGATATGCTAGAAATTATTATACGCTCCCGAGATTATTGGTCTCACCAATAATAAAGCTTAACACACAAATAAAAATAAATAATTGAAAATGACATAAATCTTGACACATTTCGTACCAATGATCGAGCCAATAATGAAAAAATGGCAGTCTTGGTCCATATAGTTGAAGATGTGTGAAGTCAATTACAAAACATTCAGGAAGCCATTGTTCCTGGTGTGACCTTTTTCTTAAAAGAAGACACGTTCAACGGCAAATTCTTATGTTCCTTCCATTATGTACAGCATTAACTTATTGTTAAGAATAAGATGACACAGATAAAAAGATTTACACACAAACAACAAGAATGATAACAACAAACAAAAGAACAGGAAGAAGACAATAAATATGTAATATCCAGCATACTTAAATTTTTTGGTGAACAATCAATCAAAGCAGTTTCTTTCTTTTTCTTTTGAGAAAGAAAATGAAAGACGTGCTAACAAGGAGGAAGTGGAGCTCCACAGAGGCCGGGATTCCCGGCAAATGCAGATGCAGGGATAGCAGCCATGAGAGCAGGAATGGGTCCTGAAAGCTTGTTGGAGTGGAGATCAAGATCGATTAGGTGTGTCAGGTTGTTGAACTCTGCAGGAATTGATGAATTAAACCCATTGTTTGATAAATCAAGTGTATAAAGTTGAGTCATGTTTCCTATCCAAGAAGGCAATTCTCCTGTCAATGCATTGCCTGATAAATTAAGTGAAGCAAGTTGAGTCATGTTTGATCCTATCCAAGAAGGCAATTCTCCTGTCAATGCATTGCTCGATAAATCAAGCATATGTATGGATGCTGCTGATGATAACCATCTTGGAAGCTCCCCTTCGATCCCAGTATTCGCCATCAATAACTGAAAAGTTTTCAAATCTTTGAACCAATCCGGCATCCTAACTAGTCCCAAAGGATTAGAAGACAAATCCAAGATGTTTAAGCCTTGTAATTTAGCAAGCTGAGGAGGAATTGGACCAGAGAGTCGGTTTCTTGACAGTTCCAAGGAATATAGATTATGCAGATTGCCAAAACTTGATGGGATTTTCCCTGTAAATTGATTGTTTGAGAATACAATACCTTCTAGAGCGGTGAGATGTCCAATGATTGGAGGGATTTGTCCACTGAGCTTGTTGTTCTCAAAAAGTAGCCTCTGCAACTTCCGAAGGACACCAATTGATGCCGGTAATCTCCCACTGAGCTTGTTGTACGATATATCGAAAAGTTCCAGAGAACTTAGTCCATCTATTGAAGAAGGAATGCTTCCACTAAGTTAGTTGTTGTAGATATATAAATCTACTAATTCTGATAGTCCGCCTATAGACTTCGGTAAGCTACCACTTAATCGATTTGCTGACAAACGGATAATTTTGACCTTCTTGAGCTTGCCAATGGTGTTTGGAATAGCACCAGAGAAGCTGTTTTGACGAAGATCAAGCATAGTTAACGAAACCAAGTTGCCAATTGAAGATGGGATTGAACCAGACAGTTGATTTTCTGAAAGGCCAAGAAAAGAAAGTGAAGCTAAAGACTCAAAAATAGGGTTAGGGAGAGAACCAGATAAGCGATTGCGATGCAGTTGAAGGTTCTTTAGCCTAAAAAGGTTTTGAAATGAAATGGGTATTGAGCCTGAGAGATTGTTGTGGTAAAGATTGAGTTCGGTAAGGTGTGAAAGCTTTCCAAGTTCAGGTGGGATGGGACCCTGCAAGTATTCGAGTTCGCTGAGGTCAAGGAGTTGAAGGAATGTGATGTTACCAAGATAAGGGGAGAGCGTGCCGGTCATATAGGTGTCAATGGGGTAGTCGTCGCCGACCGCGAGGCCGGGAAGAGAGATGTTGATGACCCTGCCGGAGGTGTCACAGGCAATGCCTTCCCAGGCTGTGCAGCAATCAGAAGAAGGCGCCCATTAATTCAGCATTCCAAAAGTGTCGTCGGTGATTTGGTGTTTGAATTGGAGTAATGCTTCTTGGTCTACTGTATGGCATGCTTGGGATGGAAATGGTGAAAGGAAAGGTGAGAAGAAGAGGAGGAATATGAGTGAGAAAGCATGTTTGTGATTGAAAACCTCCATTGAAGTTTGGAGTTTGGACATGAGAGCTAGAACAGAGGTCTTTGACCATTGAAAGGTATAAATCAACCACCTTGATATTTAGGAATTATTATACTTTCCTAATGTATAGTTGGCTTTATAAATTATATTATTCTTTTTTATTGTATAACTGGATTATAAGGAAATAATAATAATTCCTATAATCAAGTTCTAAAAAATAAGAAAGAATAATAATCCCTGTTATTAAGAAAGAGTAAATTATGATATATACCTCGTAACAGCAAGGATTACAATAATAATTAACAAGTTTTTTACTTAGACTTAAAATTTTAAGAGAGAGACAAAAAAATATTTTATTTAAACCACCTTTAATATATATATATATATATATATATATATTATTAAAAGTACAAAGAGTTTCAGCGCATTATTTTTTAATAATAAATTTAATTAAATAAGAAAATATATCTATATCTATATCTATATTCATATCTATATATATACTATTATTAAAAGTACAAATAGTGTCAGGTTCAGTACATTATTTTTTAAAAATCATTCTTCTATAATATATATATTTTTTTATCATTCTGCTAAGTACAAAGTGTTTCAGTACATTAATGTGTTTTCGTACATTATTTTTTAATAATAAATTTATATGTTCCAATTTATGTTTCCTTTTAGAATAACACAAATTAACTATCTATTATCCATTTTATTTTAAAATTAATATAAGGTGTTTAGAAGATGAGTTTTCTATACAACTCAAATTACCTATTTATTACGATTTTTTTTAATAAAAAAATATATATATAGAAAATAATTAATTTAGTCTTTCTAATTATACAAGAATATATATAAAAAATATAAATAATTTAGTATATTTATAAAACATAAATTACCTATTTATTATGAGGTTTTTTATAAAAAAAATAAAAGTAAATCTAATTAGTTTAAGAAATATATAAAGAAAATAAATAATTTAGTCTTTCTATTTAGATAAGGAAATATATATATATATATATATATATATATATATCCAAAATATAATTTAGTCTATTTAGTCTCCACATCTTTTCTAATTTTATTAATAATATATAAATAATTTTTTAATACATAAATGAATAAATATCCATTTTTAGTTTAAAATTAATATAAGGTGTTTAGAAATGTTTCTATAAAAAAATCATATTACCTATTTATTTTGAGTTTCTTTAATAAAAATAAATCTAATTATATATATATATATAACAATTTAGTCTTTCTAATTAGATAATAAAATATATAAATAATATAAATAATTTAGTCAATTTATAAAATTCAAATTTCTTATTTATTATGAGTTTTTTTTATAATAAAAGTAATCTAACAAGTTAGGGAAATATATAAAGAAAATAAATAGTTTAGTCTCTCCAATTAGATAAGGAAATGTATAAGAAATAAAAAATAAAAAATATTCTATTTAGTCTCCACATTGTTTCTAATTTTATAAATAATATATAAATAAAAAAATATTAATAAAATGTAATAAAAAATAGTCTTGATTTTGACATTATTTTAGGAGTTTTAAAATACATTTATCAAGAATTGAATTCCTATTGTAAAGTTCAATTAAAAATTATATTTCTATCTCTTTTACCTTGTGCCAATTTTATGTTAATGGATATTTTAGAATTTATAATTTTTTAATTAGTTTATTGAATATTTATTTAAATTAGATTTTACTCACATGCAATAGTATATTATTTTTTAATAATAAATTTATATGTCCCATATGTAATTTTCCTTTTAAAATAACTCAAATTACCTATTTATTATGAGTTTTATTTTAAAATTAATATAAGGTGTTTATGAAAGTTTCAATAAAACTCAAATTACCTATTTAGAAGAGTTTTATAAAACTCAAATTACCTATTTATTAGGAGTTATTTTAATAAAAGGAAATCTAATTAGATAATGAAATATATATAGAAAATAATTAATTTAGTCTTTCTAATTAGACAAGGAAATATATAAAGGAACTATATATATATATATATATATATATATATATATATATAATTTACTCTATTTAATCTACACGCCTTTTATAATTTTATAAATAATAGTTAAATATTTTTTAAGTTATAAATAAATAAAATATTAGTAGATTGTAATAAAAAAATAGTCTTGATTTTGATATTGTTTTGGGAGTTTGAAAATGCACCTATCAATAATTGAATTCCTCTTTGCACATGAGTTTGAAAATGCACCAATCATCTTTGATTTTATGTTTTAAACTTTACAATTTATTAATTACTTTGTTAAAATAAAAGAGTTTCTATAAAACTATTAAACAACTAAAACAATAAAATAAAATAGGTAACTATTTAATAAAATAATTTACCACATAATAAAATAAATTACCAATTAAAATTAAATAGGAAATTGCTTAATTGAAATTCAATAAAGATGTTTCAAATCATTTATAGATAAAATAGTAAAATAATTTGCCAAATAATAAAATAAGTTACCATTTAAAATAAATCCTATTATGCTCGGAATTCTTCAAAGTTAAAAAACTTTACTTTTTTCTATTTTATTATATTTCTAACTCTTTACTAATCCTATAAGTAACCAATTAAAGTAAATCCTACTATGCTCGGAATTATTCAAGTTAAAATAATTTTACTTTTTTTATTTTATTCTATTTCTAACTCTTTCCTAAACATAAATATTGATATAAAAATTCCTAGGTAATTTTTTAATTGGAATTCAACCGAGATGTTTCAAACCATTTATAGATAAAATAATAAAATAATTTACCAAATAATAAAATAAGTTACCAATTAAAATAAATCATGTGAGTTACCAATTAAAATAAATCACATTATGCTAGGGAATTTTCAAGTTAAAACAACTTTACTTTTTCTATTTTATTCTATTTCTAACTCTTTCCTAAATATAAATATAGATTTAAATCTTTTCAAGGTAATTGTTTAATTGAAATTCAATCAAAATGTTTCAAATCTTTTATATATAAAATAATAAAATAATTTACTAAATAATAAAAAAGTTACCAATTAAAATAAATCCTATAAGTTACCAATTAAAATAAATCTTATAAGTTACCAATTAAAATAAATCCTATTATACTTGGAATTTGTTTAACTTTATAATAACTTTACTTTTTCTATTTTATTATATTTCTAAATCTTTCCTAAACATAAATACAGATCTAAATATTTCCATATTTCCATTATAATTTTGTAATAATTTTTTTTTTTTTTGGATAGTAAAGCAAACACACACACACACACACTTTTTTGCCCACGCACGGGCTCGAACCCCTCCTCTCTTTATTGAAGATGAGGAGGTTACACCATTAGGCCAAGGGCCCTTTGGTAATTATTTTTATTTTTTATTACAATGTTATGGTGAGATACATTGGTTACATTTATACATGAAAAATCATTCTATTTCTAACTCTTTCCTAAATATAAATATAGATCTAAATGTTTTCAAGTAATTGTTTAATTGAAATTCAATCAACATGTTTCAAATCATTTATAGATAAAAAAATAAAATAATTTTCCAAATAATAAAATAAGTTACCAAATAAAATAAATCTTATAAGTTACCAAATAAAATAAATCCTATGTTCTGAATTCTTCAAAGTTAAAATAACTTACTTTCTCTATTTTATTCTATTTCTAACTCTTTCCTAAATATAAATATAGATCTAAATCTTTCCATTATAATATTATAATTTTATAATAAAATTATTGTTATGTTTTATTATAATGTTATGGTGAGATACATTAGTTACGTTTATATATGAAAAATCATTCTATTTCTAACTCCTTCCTAACTATAAATATAGATCTAAATCTTTCCAAGGTAATTGTTTAATTGAAATTCAATCAAGTTGTTTCAAATCATTTATAGATAAAATAATAAAATAATTTAACAGATAATAAAATCCTAAAAACTACCAATTAAATTAAATCATATTATACTCGAAATTCTTAAGGTTAAAATAACTTTACTTTCTCTATTTTATTATATTTCTAACTCTTTCCTAAATATAAATATAGATCTAAATATTTCCTTTATAATATTATAAATTTATAATAAAATTATTCTTATGTTTTATGATAATGTATAAAAGAGTTTCTATGTAAAAAAAAAAAAAAAAAAAAAAAAAAAAAAAAGGAACAAAAAATGAATCAATATTTATTTAATAATGTAAAAAAATATTTATTAATTGATATAAAGTGAATTAAAATAAAAGAGTTTTTATAAATAAACTGAATTAAAATAAAAGAGTTTCTATAATACTTTTAAAACAATAAAATAATTTATCAAATAATAAAATAAATTACAAATTAAAATTAAATAGGTAATTGTTTATTTGAAATTCAATGTTTCAAATCAGTAGTGTTGGCTTTGGATTAATATAGTTCCTTCCATACTTCCATTAGATGTACATTGATTTCCTTGTAGTCCATGCATGAATCTCGAGGAATTTTATGGGTTCAGGCGTGGGATGTTGCAGGTCACCTGATATAAAATTAAATTTAAAATTTAAAATAAAATAAATGTAATAAAAATTTATTTTTCAATGTATTTTTTATTTATACTTCTAATTGCAGTTTATAAATGATGTAAGAAGAAACGATTGAGAGAGGAATAGTTGACAGTAGATTAACGAGGTTGTCCTTTAATTCATAATAAATAGTGTGTAAGGATTA